CGTCAGTTCTCTCTCTCTCTCTCTCTCTCTCTCTCTCTCTCTCTCTCTCACACATACACACACACATACACACACACTTAATACACAGTGAGATCATGCAATTAATATCGGGTGGGTGTATCACACAAAATTAGGAAGATTAATGAATGAGCTTTTCGATTCCAGTCCAGTTGAACTGAGCCGAAGAGTTTTTGTTTGAGTTTTGATTGTTTAACAAACGAGACTGCACGTTGTAAGCTCGACTTAACTCGTTTAGAAAAAAAAACTAAAAAAATGTAAACGAGTCATTCATGAACACAATTTGTGTGTTCGCGATCATGCTTGAATTGTTTGTTCGTTCGAAATCAATAAAAAAAATAAACGAATTGTTAATCGAAGCTAATCAAGAGATGATTAATTTGATATATTATATATGTAAAATTGATAAGAAATACAAAAGTTATTAACTTAATAAAGAATCATGTAATTTGATATATTTATGAATAATCTGAACCTAATTATTTTTGGATTGGAAGTAAATCAAGATATACCAAAACGAAGCATATAATTTTGCCACATAAGATCTCGAAGCACTTGAGACTGCCACTTAGGCTCAGCACGTTATGAATTAACATATAGATCCCGAAGCATGCGAGTCTGCCACTTAAGTTCAATCGAATTGAATTAATATAAAGGGGGATTTGTTGATACAATTGCCAGCATGCACAACATAAATGGCTTTAAATAGCACCATAAAATGTAACACTTTACAAATAGATATCATATAAGTGTTACCAAAAACTACCAAAAGTATTACCTATTTGTAAAGTGTTACATTTGATGGTGCTACCTAAAACCATTTATGTTGTAGTGCAAATATTTGTCTAGTGTTCTTTTTTGTTGGTAATTTGTAGTAGTATTTTTTTGTCCAAAATTATAAACTTTTATAGGTACTCTATAAGTAATATGTTGTTATTTACCAATAAGAAATTTTTATTGGTAGTATATGTAGTTATTTCGACATTTTCTTGTAGTTTTGAAATAAGTATGATATTTTACAACGAAAGTATGTCCCAGGAGAGTTAATGGTTGAAAATAAGAAATTATTTATTGGTATGTCCCAAATTCATTAGTTATTTATGAATTTTTATGCAGAACAATTCTCTACCATTTAATAAATACGCTTTTCTAACGACCCACAACTCTTTCGCCATTGACGACGGGAAACTGAGGCTCACTTTTACGAATCAAGAAGACACAATCTCTCAACAACTCAATGTACGTTATTTTCATCTCACTTCATTCCTTTTCCCCTCTAAAAACACTATATATATGATTCACGTTTTTGTTAAACGACTATGATCTTTATTCCCCAACAGAATGGCGTCCGTGGCTTAATGCTTGATGTATATGATTACAAAGGAGACATATGGTTATGCCATTCCTTGAAAGGAAAATGCCATGACACCACCAAATTTGTAAGTAGTTATTTGTATTCATTGTAACTTTCAGGTAAGAAAAATTATTTTTTGGTACACTGAGACGACTTTTGTACGTAAATTACATCAATTTGACAATTTATATGTTACTAGCTATATATATTGGTGTACCATTTGTGAACAATTGAAATGTTATTGTAGTTCTAAGTCCCAATATTTGGTTTACTTCATTGACTACATGATGAAATAAGCATGATTTAGAGTCACGACTTTGCTTTTGATGTTTGAACACACACACATATGTGTATATAACTTAAACTAGTATATTGAACTAATACAAATTTCACAATATTCATGTAATTCAATCTCAAAGTGTTGTCATCTAAAATTTACAGGAACCCGCTATCGAGACATTTAGGGAAATCGAAGCCTTCCTGTCGCAGAACCCGTATGAAATCGTGACCTTGATTTTGGAAGACTACGTTGAAACACCAAACGGATTGACCAATGTTTTTAACGAATCGGGCATAATGAAGTATTGGTTCCCTTTGTCGAGCATGCCTAAAGGTGGCCAAGATTGGCCTTTGGTTAGCGACATGGTCGCGAAAAATCAAAGGCTGCTCGTTTTCACATCGATAGAGTCTAAGGAAACTAGTGAAGGGATTGCTTATCAATGGAATTACATGGTTGAAAATCAATGTAGGCCATTTATAATATATGCCTTAAAGTGTCATTGTTGCTTTCAGCTTTTAAAGATTTTGATAATTAAACTTTA